CTCAATTTCGATAGGCCCTTACAAACATATCTGTTGCTGGCCCTTTCCGAATTACGATTTTCCATGTAATAATAGCTCATTATAAACTACAGTATATGCTAATGCAGTAGTGCATGAAAAGCAAAGCATTGGCCATAACAAAGTTAAGAGAGAACTAAAAATGGCAAAGGCCAATATCTGTTCCACGGCAATGCGTAATCTGCATTAAGAGTGAATGTGGATTTTAACTTCTTTTTGGGGACCCGCATATGAAATGTGAAATATGAAACGTATTCAACTAAACGAAATACTTTTAATATATCTTTTTCCTTTTTATGTAATTCATTTTCCGACGGTTCCGATATAATTTAAGAAAAAAAAATACATACGTGTAAGGCATCTGTTGTATGTAAATGTAGACGCATGGAATCGGTACATTTCGTATCGCATAGCGTACAGTACTGTAATGCAGTTCTGATTATTTCAATTTCATCCGCCGTGTCAAGAGAAAGATGTAATCCCCTTGTTGGCTTTGTGTAAGGGAATATCCATTTACTAGCGCACACACCAGAACGAAAGAAAAACCACTTATACGTGCTTCTGACGTCTCCTTTTTAACTGCGGTAAGAATGTTTTTACAAAATGCGTGATACATGCACTGCACTTCATACGCATTTCGTAGATTTAAATGCGACGATTACCTTGCTTTTCTATGGAGGATTTGAATTTAATGCTTCGTGTTTGTAAATACGTCCAAGTCCGTGGATGGTTTGTTGATCCAGATTTTCAGACAATTAGCCCAGGATAAGCCATCGATCAGATTTAAATCAGAAATTATTAAAATAAAGGAAGACCTAAATAAAATGGTTGTCGCAGGTGTATGGATATCCACTGTTGAAAAAACAGTATAGTTAAAATATATTTGTACTGTATTTAGATTTCACATATACAGGGTGTTTTATTTAGTAAAAATGTTTTATGTGCACGAGTGCTAGACAGGTAATCTAGCAGAGCCGGGTTTGTAAAAACCTTCCAGTCAGGTGGGCGGTTGGGTTTTTAATTCACGGCGGTCTTAAACTTGAGAAGTTTACTCCAGACGAGTTTGAAAGAGCCCCAAGACAACAGGGGTGCCTGTTGCAACAAAACAGCTCCTTTGTTTACCCGCTCGTCCTGTCCGGACGCCGCCGGAGGATTCCAGGGCGGTCATTTCAATAAGGTGCAGACACCAGTGCACTCGACAGTGACCTTGAACTGCCCAAGCGCCAATTGGTCGCGTTTTTCCTAAAACAATTCAGACGGGCGACTGAAAGAGATGTTTCGCCACCGCTTCACAACTTTGTCCCCCCCCACTTCTCAGACGCGTTTTTTTTTTTGTGAGAGGATTACTCTTTTGAAAAATGCCACCGCTGTTTCCTCCAAACTCGTAGTTGTTGTGGTTCGGGGCGAGTGTGGGGAGGGGGTGTGTGTGGACAGGGTGTTACTCCTCCGACGGCGACGAGTCGCGCCTTCTGCCTGGCCTGCTTGTTGTGGGGATTGGCACCGCGGCCTACGTCTCCTCATTTTAATCAAAAGGTAATTTTTTTTTCTGGTTATTAAAGAGCTTTTCGAATTCCAGCGGAACTCGCTGAGTCCCGCCGTGGCTTATGTGTGCGGATACCACTTCCTTGTTTGCAGCCGGCCCGCGCGAACATCAGCTACGACAGGCGGATAAGTAGTTTAGTGCTGGCGAGCGAGACGACTAATTGCGCTCCGAGCTATTGGCAGTCGGCCTGTTATCGAGCCAGGAGATTCAAAAATAATTTGACAAATCAGATGGAAGTAACTTTCCATCTGATTTGGAAAGTGTGTCCTTATTGAATCTGACTGGGTCCGCAGTACTTAAAAAAGAAAAAGCTTGTGCCACTGAGATACGAGGGTATTCGTAGAGACTACTGTGGAAGCCCAGGAGAGGTTATATTAAATTAAGATCACGTGACATTTCTGATTAATACGAATCAATTAAACGATTAATTTAGAAAGAATCGTTTTCGCATGTGTCAGGAGTAACCGGAGTTACAGATGGGAGTCTCTGTGCGCGTTGGGAGATCTGCAGATATGTTGTCAATACTTCAGGCTTTAAGGATTTGTCTACGCAGCGTTTCTGAATGCCAGAAATAATTTTATGTAGGGTATATTTATGCTGATGAATTTTTAAACTTGTGTGAAATAAAATATGCATTTGGTTTCAATCAATATTTGTAGTCTTTGCCAAAACGTGCCTAGCATGTCTTTTATAACGAATGATTTATCGTTATGCATCTTTTTATTACGAAGACACACGTTCGATTCTGAAAAATGATCTTTTTTATTCAAAACAAGAACACATTTCGTTTTGTGAGCCGACTTTGCTGTTTATTATAAGACCTTTAATATTTTGTGTGTTAGATTAGTTGTGCTGTGGTTTTACTGTAGGTGTAATTTGTGGATGTCTGGTGTCCATTGAGGTGTAAACCATTCCGATGAAACCACTGGAAAACATTTTTATATTATTCTGGTCTGTGAAAAGAAACAAGAAGCACTGACATTGTTTATAAAGCCACGTAAATCACATGCTGTAGGGCTCAAACCAGCATTCGGTATTGTTGAGGTATTATTTACACTGAGATATATGTGTTCGGAAAACTGTCTTAAAACAGGCCCACTGTTCTGTATTACAAACGCTGCACAATGCTTTTGAGTTCTGAAAAATGAGCTTTTAACGCGGAATCGTGCTGGGCCGGTTGATTCTACGTGCCTGTGTTCGGTATACAGCCGGGAGTTTCGAACTCTGTGGAATTCCCTGGATTCAGAATATTTTGTTGTCTGTCCTTTGTTGCGGTTTATGAGCAGTTTAATTCCCCCACGGGGCAGAGTGGATGTGCGTCATATCATAAGAAACTGCAGACATTTCTTACAATGTCCAGCGCTTCAGGCATCCGCCATCACGGGCTGGCCGGTGCTCCCTGCGGTCTCTGTACCCGTCACCGGGACCGGCCAGCGCTCCGGGCCTCTCGGCCTCTGCTGAAACTGCGCTGGCCTGTCACAGCATCCTAACGGACAGTCGGGGGACTCCCCAAGGTCTCCCGTCTGAGAAGACAACCGGTCTAATTAAAAGGCGTTTTCAGACTCTTACCACGTGTGTTTCATCCGTGAAGAAGCGCGGGTAGTGTTTGTTCCTATGACTGCGTGGTGCTTGCTCTGTGAGTTACTGTTTATTAGTGTGGATTACCAATTGAGAGCGATTATTAT